TAGTTCACTTTATGTAACGTGGTCGTTACAGTAAATCCACTCAAATCGCTGGACTTTCATGTGCATTGTTACGTACATCGGCATTCGTGTGTTATTACAGTTAGGGAATACGCTAAATCTAGTCGCATGTTATAACTGCTAAAGGTATATAGTTTTTTTGCTGTAACGAGTTGGTTACAGTGAGCCGACTGATAGTCTTCCTGTGTGAAAGATGGTCAGTAGATGTCTGTAATGATAATGGAGTGACTACGCTAGCTAGGTTATGTCGTAATCGCTTTGGATAGATGTGGATACGGGTTGTAACAGGATTATGACATCACTCACATTATGTGCACCGGTTCAATTCGACAGCTCATCGATGTCCACATACTAAATGAATAATTTAAATAGTACCAATAGTCATATTTATCTATAATATTCACTTCAACACAAAACGACCGAGTTGCTTAACTCAAGTATGCCATGCCAAATAAACAGTCGAATCATTGTTCTGTTCATTTATGTTCATTTTACTTGAAAATGAAGGCTTTCAGTTCGTCTATACTTCAAGACCATTGGAGAAACGAATGATCAGAACAACATTTGCCGCATTGGGCGCAAATATTCTATTGCACAATGTTGCTGAACATAAAAAATGATGTTCCAATTTGTGTAAGGATCGAATATTGTGTTACAGTTGAATCATGCTTAAGAAAATTTTGTTTGTTTATCTTCATATTGGCAAAGCAAATTAAGAAGTTCTTCAATGAAGTACAGTCCATATAAGAAGTGACTGCATATAACGACCGTTAACATTTTCCACTATTATTTCTCTCTTCACACGTGAAACAGCTGCTACAATTAGCTAGTGGATAATCGTACAATACATGAATATTCAAAACAAAAATTCTTCTCAGTTAATTTTTTCTGTTCGTAATAAATACTAGAAAATATTGTGCTAAGCAATGTTCACATTAAACATAAATTATTCTCACGAAGTCTGTCAAAAGTACCTGGTGCAGCGAATTCTTGATGGACTAAAACAATAATGAAAAAAAGTCAAATGAAAGATGAGCTTAATAACTTCTTTTTCTCTGTGAAATATTGGGTAGTAACATAAGTTCTGCAGATTTTTTTGTTCACCAACAAATTTATTCTACGACAAAGATATGGAACATCAATCAACGATATAATCGCCATTATTTTCGAAACCTTCGCCCATCTTGCTAGCAATTGTTCAACCTCACGTTTGTACAAACTAGCTGACTGTGATTCGAAAAAGGCAGTGAAATAAATTTGTTGGTGAACAAAAAAAACTTCCAGAACTTATGTTACAACCCAGTACCATGAATTATCATTATATAAGAATACAGCAAGAAACGTTAATATTCTAAAGATTACCCTAACGACGTCTGGATACACAGGGTGTGTAAAAATGTTTTTCCAGGGAGCGGGGGGGGGGGGGGGGGGGGGGGGGGGGAGGGGAGGGATAATGCCATGATTTTAAATGGCATCAATAACAAATTTTATACTTAATGAAAGCGCGCCAAAAATGGGATTTATTAGTGTTAAATGGCAAGGGTTCTGCCAATTTTTTTATAGCAAACATAACAAATATCTAGAAATTTCCGAGGTATAATTGTGGTAACCTATCAATAATGAGTCATCCATAGTCACAATTCTGTTTATTCCTTAATAAATCTTGGAAGGATCTGTCAGGATCTTGAATCCTCAGGATCTTATCAAGTTTTCCTCTGGACCCTGACTCAATTCCTGATGATTTCTGCTTCCAGGATTTCTCACGATTATACAGGATCCTGTTCAGGATTTCATCATGTTACTGACCAGATCTGTTTATAGATCATGAATGCAGGATCTTTCAAGGTTTCAATCATGACCCTGCTAAGAATCCTTAAAGGAATAATAGAAAGGACTCTCTCAAGATTTCAGCAAGCTTTAGACAAGATCTCATGCTGGGCTTGATACAAAGATCCAGGCAACTGTTGCAGCTAAAACTGATGAGGATCTCAACACAAAGCCAACAAGAGAGCGCATCAGTGGCTGTGCTTGTTAGTTAACATAAGCAGAACTCTTGTTCACATCCACAACCACGTCTTGCTTCCTAAATTATTCAAAATTTAACAACAATGGAAATCTGCTCAAGATCCTGGCGTAATCTTGTTTCGAATCCTCTCAGGATCTCGAAATTCCGTGACTACACGCTTGTTTGAGGATTTAATGGTTTGCTGGCAGGATCCTGATTGAAAAACAATGGTATTTTGTTCAGGACCTCGTGTGATCCTGTTTCAAATCCTGTCAGGATCTTGAAATTGCGTGGCTACACGCTTCTTTCAGGATTTAGTCGTTTCCTCAGGAAAAAAGAGCGAATCCTGAAAGGATCCTGACTGGCTTCGTTAACGATCTGACTCGGAAACATCAAGAATCTTCCCTAGGGATTAGACGAGAAAGATGCTTTTCTCACAAAAATTAATAGAAGTATCGTTATGTTAATTATTCAGCATGATTCAGTTCAGAAGATAATATTATTTTTTTTCATTCTATTATCTTTTTATCTTCTTCTTATGAACACAAATGACGGCATAATGTCAGAGTAATAGAAAAGATAAAGCAGTATTCATTCTTATTTATTGCAGGCCACTTTTTCGTGCTACAGTCACGTTTCATTTCAGCTATCGAACAGCGTTTTTTTAAAACTTCTATTCTTTGTTAGAGCGAAGCTTTTAAGCATGTGTAGAGCACTATATAAGATCGTTTCGCGGTTTATAAACATCATGAACACAAACCAATGATCATTTTCGTTCAGCAATTTAACTTAATTGGCTGAAAATGGCTGGTGCCTTATGACACAGAACAGCAAAGAGTTATCCACAGAATCAAAAGTATTGCTTTTCGTGAAGCTTCGGATGCCAGTGCAACATTTATAAATGGACAATGGATTGTATACAAAATTCATCGTACTACGCGATTCTTTACAGAATGGTGGGAAAAGTCATACGATGATTGTTTTGCTGATTATTCCGAATATACTCGTAAACTTAAACTATCAGATGCAAGTAGAAATCTCATTCTCAGTGTAAGCGGCGAACAAAGAAAAAGTATTTATATTATGGTGAAAGAAATTGCAGAAAAATACAAGGAATATGTTGTTCCAAAAACAATTGCCACCTATCGGCATAAGGAAGGAATAAAGCAG